AGAAACAGTGAGAACACTGTATGGATGATGCAGAGTGAGTTATAGACAAGAAGGCAAATTCATTGCATGGAAATGACACTGGCCTAGGAGTCCCAGTTTCCTTATGTGTTAAAGTACAGAAATGACCTACAGGCATACCTTGCTTTATTGCACTTTGCTTTACTGTGCTTCACAGACGTTGTGTGGTTTGGTTTGCTTTGTTTTTACAAATTGAAAGCAAGATCCTCCACCAGCAAAAAGATTCTGACTCATTTTATTGCCATACTCGCTTTATTGCAATAATCTGGAACTGAACCACAATACTTCTGAGGAATCCCTGTAGATACCTAAGGTCCCTTTCACCATCAACAGTTTATTATTCTACAACAGTGGGTCTCAACTCGTTTGTGCATCCAAGTAGCCTGGAGATATTTTAAAAATTACAGATGCCCACCCTCCCAAGATTCTGATTCAGTAGGTCTGTGGAAGAACCAGAATATCTTTATTTTTAAAAGCTTCAAAGTAAGTCTGACACAGACCAGAAAACCACTGTTCTGACCCTCTTCCCATTACAACATTATCTGTATTATGTACTAAATGCTTCAGCCTATATAATATAATTCAACCTGTTAACTCTTAACTCATGACTTTCTGCTTTAATAATTACCTATGACCTCTAATCCAGCAATTTTCAACTGGTGTGCTGCAATAATTGTTAAAACATGCAATACCTGTTTAGTCAGGGACACTGACCTCTTTTCCCTTTGACTGTAAAATTAAAAAATGACAACAGATAACACAACGATAGCCATCTGGTGTGAATGAATCACAATTATATTTTTTTGTCAGACCGGCAAAAAATATATTTTTTGGTGTGCCACAGATTTTTTAGTAGTTTGTGTGTGCATGAGATGAAAAGGGTTGAAAAATCACTGATCTAACCCAATAATTCTGAGAACCTATCCTACATAACCGAAATAAAAACAATGTTTTATAAACAAAGATGAGCTATTTTTAACATTTTATTAAAATAAAACTAGAGTATCACTTTTAATGTCTAAAAATTGAAAACAATATAAATGTTCAAACACAGTGAATAATTACACAAATTACGCAAATTTATGATAGAATACTAATTAACCACGAAAAATGATTACTTTTTAACAAAGTAAAACAATACTATAGGAAAACAACAAGACAAAACTCTAAGTGTGTGTGTAGGGTGTGCGTGTAGGAGTTCATTTGTGTTAAAAATAAAGAACAGAAACAAAACTGGAAGATCTGATTCAAACTGTTAACATCTATCTCTATGTTTTGGGATTATGGGTAACTTTTATTTTCTTTATAATTTTCTGTGTTTTCCAAATTTTCTATAAATTATGTATTACTTTTAAAATTGGGGAGAAAAGTTGGCCTATTCTGCTGATATAAGCTAAACAGAAACAATTTGTTCTAAGGTTGAAGAGGTTTAAGTTTCAAAAAGATATCCATGAATTCTTATGCATACTTATAGAGGGCTCAAAATTTAAAGCAAAGATCAAAACCACTAAATTCTTAAACAATGATGAATGTAACATAGCATTCACAGTTTAGGATCAAATTATTAGAATGACTATAAGAGAGCACTCCTATAAACTCAGTAGGTGTGGAGTCTATTCTTTAAAACTCATTAGGTGAGGATTGAAAGCACGATGAAAATCTCTGTCAAAGCTGACAGAGCACAGGGCAGGGTCTACCTAGGATTTGATGATAGTGACTAATCTCCAGCCATGAATGAAGCTCGTCAGGGCCAAAAGGCTATCTATTTTATGGTAAAAGAAATAACGGAAGGATCTTTTTAATCTTTGCAAGATGGTGGGGGAAATAATTTAGAACAGCAATTTTCAACCTTTTTCATCTCATGGTACACATAAACTACTAAAATTCTGCGGCAACCAAAAAAATATTTTTTTTGCCAATCTGACAAAAAAAAAAAAAAAAGGTATGATTTTGATTCATTCACACCAGACGGCTACTGCTGTGTTGGCTGTGGTCATTTTTTAATTTGATAATCTAAGGGAAAAGAGATCCGTGACCCTGACTAAATAGTCAGGTGTTGCATGTTTTAAAAATTCTTGCGGCACACTGGTTGAAAATCGCTGATCTAGAAAAACAGATACCGAGAATTAGCTAAAGTGGAAAGGTGGGATACTTGAAATTATTGCAAACTCTTACCTATTTCCTGCGTGGATTAGCCAGTGGTGGCTACCACACATCCAGGATTTTCGAGGATTTCAAATACAGGTACATCTCCTTGTATTGGGCTTTGCTTTATTGCGCTTCACAGATGTTGGCAGTTTTTACAAATTAAAAGCAAGACCCTCCACCAGCAAAAGATTACCGCCGGCTTTATTGCCATACTCGTTTTATTGCAGTGGCCTGGACAGAACCAATAAGGGAAGCCTGTATTCTAGCCTTTTGCTCCCATAAGCACGCTCAAACTCGTAGACCAGGTGCCTCTGTTTTTAATTATGAAAATAGAGATGTTGTATCTCTGCCAGCGGTTAGAGCCATGAACCACAATCACAACCTCCAGCAGGGCAACTGACAGCATTGGTGCAAATAATCCTCACTGCACACGTCCAAGGATGCATAACCCACGGCACATTCCTGGCACACCTGGACCTTCATGTTATTAACCTATCGCGCTGGTGGGACAAGGTGCTCAGTCCCGGTTAACCCACAGCGACCCAGCAAACCAACCAACCAACCAAGTCTGCCCTCCCTCTGGAGGCCCGGCCCGCAGCCGTCCAGGCACCTGGAAATCTCTGGCGGGAAAATATTTTTAAAAAACAAACACAAACAGCAGCAAAAGGAACGACTTCTCAAGAGCTTTCCAATCTGGAGTAATATCTGAACGCAAAAGTAGAATATAAAATTGCTTGAAAGCCTAATTCACCGAGTGAAAGGCGCTGGAACAAGGCCGGTTAAGTTAAAGGCCGGGCTGCACCAGACGTGGCGGGGCTGCAGAGGCGGCCCCGACCGGCCCTGCCCTCGAGGGGCCCGCGGTCGGCCT